ATTACTATATTAAAAGTAATACCCGTCCAACTGTAGTTAATTGTTATAGTGTTTAAAGTCTATAAATACAATTCCCACTACTAGTCGCTTAGTTTTCTTTGGTTTCTTTAGAAGGTAAACCAAGGTTAACAACGTTAATATTTTCCTATATAATATATACTAAAAAATATGAAATTAAACTAATAAAGTATAGTTATAAATAAGCTAATACATGATAACAAAATAATAATATAATAAATGAATAAAATAAAAATATAATAATAATAAGATTCAACAACTAGGATCAACACTATATAACATTCAATAAGTAGACTATAAATATTCTATTTTTGAGTGTGCCGTAAAACAAAAAATGTGATACCTTCGAATGTGTCATAAAAAATAAATTATATCACATTTTTTGAAATGGTTATAATTTACATTAAGTAATATAATTATAGTCTAATTAGACTATAATTATATTACTTATTCTATTGTATTTTATATTATAAATTAGCAAAAATCAAAATTTCTTTTCAGTATGTCTATTCTTTTATATTTGATCTGTGTCAATTCTATATATATTCTCAAAATTGATTTTTGATTTTTGGAATATTTCATTTTTTTGAGATTTATACAAAATCTATTCTATATATAGAAGTAAAAAAATATATCTTTAATTAAAAAATTTATCTGAATAGTTAAAAAATTTCAGATTTTAAGTAAAATAATTTTGTTTTTTATAAAAAATTATTTTATCATTTTTCTCTAAAATTGTAATTTCAGAGCTTCAAAATAATTTTATATGCAAGTATAGTTAATTTAATTTGTTTAATAATCTTTAAATTATTGAAGTCAATTATAGATTTAAAGCAAATGATTTTTTTTTGGTGAAATTATAGTATAATTATTATACTTGTATATAAAATTATTTTGGAGTTCTGAAATTGCAATTTTGAAAAAAAATCAAAATAGTTTTTTATAAAAGACAAAATTATTTTATTTAAAACTTGAAATTTTTTGACTACCCAAATAAATTTTTTGATTAAAGATACACTTAACTAGATATTTTTTTACTTCTATATATAGAATAGATTCTGTTTAAATCTAAAAAAAACAAAATATTTCAAAAATCAAAAATTTATTTTGAGAACATGTATAAATGAAGTTATCAAATTAGTAGTAATACATATAATAAAAATAAAAATTAATCTTTTTGCTTGTTTTATTAATAAAACATTAATAATGTTATTAAGATAATATGAAGTTACAAATAAGACATATTTACTATAAAAGTTTCAGATTTATTAATTAAAAATTGAGTGATTAAAATGTTCAAATTTCAAGTGTATCTTTATTGTAGCTTCTTGTTATATTGATAATATTTTTGATATTTTATTAATAAAAAATATATATTATATAAAAATAATATATTTAAAGTTTTTAATTATGATTATTATATAATATAATTATAATTATTGATATTATAAATATTACTAAGATAATATGAAACTATATTTATAAATTCAATTATAATTTTTTATATTATATAGAACAATTCAATTAACCTGGATTCTAATTTTTGTGATTTATAGTCCATTAGATTATCCTCATTAAGGTAACCTGGGTTCCAATTTTTGTGATTTATAGCTCATTAGATTATTCTCATTAAGGAAAACATTTTGATAATTGTTTTTTTCAAATTAACTTATTTACACAAAGTTGTTAACTAAAACATTTGTTTTATCAGTAGACAAAATTTTATTATAATTTTTCATGTTATATGAAATTATTTCATTAACTTGTGATCCAATTTTTGTGATCTATAGCTCATTAGATTTCCTCATCAAAGCAAACATTTTGATAGTTGTTTTATTCAAATTGAACTTCTCAACACAAAGTTATTAGTCAAATATTTGTTTTATCAATAGGTAAAATTCTATTATAAATTTTCACGTTATATAAAACAATTTCATTAACCTGTGATCCAATTTTTGCAATCTATAGCTCATTAGACTTCTCTCATTGAAGCAAACATTTTGGTGACTGTTTAATCAAAACATTTGTTTTATTAGTAAGTAAAATTTCTTGATAGCACTCAATTCATTATAAAATTTTCAGACTTATTGAATAAATAAAATAATAATTTAATTAAAATCAATAATAATAAAATAATAGTAATTGTAATAGTAATAGTAATAATAATAAAATTTAATAAAATATAATATTAAATAGAAAACCTTCAATTTTTCTAATTAATAAATTTAAACAATAATAATTTTCGATCAACCCATCAGTTCGGTCTGACCTTATCAACCCATCAACCTCAATCAGCCCTATCAACTTGAGCGGTTTGGTCCAGTTTCAGTTTGGCCTCGAGTCGGACAGTTAACAACACTAATCCTGTCGTCTTCCGCCATTAGAATTTCATTGGTTCATAATCTTGCAGGTGATCAGAAATAATCAAGATATTTAATAAAAACCGATATTCGAAAAGTGTGACACAATATAAAAATCGATATTCGAAAAAGTGTGACACCTGACAAACCCTAACTCATACATTTAACGTGAGAAAAGACCTGGATCTCTCATCTAGACCTTCATCTAGACCTTCGTATTTATATATATGGAAAAAGTAATTTTCTAAAAATAAAATAAAATAAAATGGTTGAAATAAATCATAGACACTATACAGTACATGCAATTAATACTATTTTGGTATTATATTCAACGTAAATTCCGTCATTTATTATTATCTATTACATCAAAACTGGCATAGGTAATCTTAATATTGATTGAAAGATTCATGAATTAGATATTGTCCATTAGGATTTTTATTCTGAAATATTTTACACGTTTTAGAGGCAGTAATTGTATCGGAAAAGAAGGATTATATTATATGAAATAATTACAGGCCTTCCACCATATCACATAAAATGAACTGTCAGACAAATATGATATGTTATGTATGGATTACAACAAGAATGAAATGTTGGATGTTAGAAATAAGTTAATTAATATTTTTGGGATTGTATAAAAAATGATTTTTAAAAAATAATAACGAAGTCACATTTAAATTAAAAATTTTTTTAAAAAAATAAAGTAAAGAGGTAATTAAGTCAAAGATCATTAACAAATCCAATACTGCAATTATCACAAGGAATTAGCATTATCATTTTTTAAGTTTTGCAAAACTTAAAAATAAAGAAGGGTTTGAAAAAGAACAAATCTATTTCTTTAAGTGTTGGTAAGTATCAATTGTATTCTTCATATATATATATATATATAATTCTTTTTTAAAATATTATATTTATATTTTATTTACCGTTTTTAAACATTTTAAGTAAATATGTTATATTTATTATCATTAATTCTATTTCAAGCAAGTTTTAGCCCTTTGCTCTTCTACCAAGTATAGTTTCATAATATGCAGGTCTCGGAAAATCTGATGTGAATAAGGGTAATCCACCATAACTAAATAAAGTAAGTTTTTTGTTTATGGAAGAATTTACTATTACGGAAATGGAATTTATTGCTACGATCAATTCAACAAAGAATGATCTATAATTTATTATTGTCATAAAAAGTAATATTTAGATAAATTTAGTTAGACTTTTTTATTTCCCCCATTGGCATATTCCCTAAATGAAATGGGGGAGGAAAGTTTTTTTTTTTGGAAAGTCGTTTTTTTCTATATTCAGTTAGATTTTTATTAAATGTCTGAATGATGCGAATGCAAATAATATATTTTTTGATTTGAAGAATAGAAAATGTACCGATAAAGTTTAATAATCTGTTTTATTTAATTTGAGAAATCCAAGTTTACAATCAGGTGACGCAAAAAAATTGAATTAATGCAAGGATTTTGTGTTTTGAAATAAAGTTTTTATTTCACTAAAAATAAATTTTTTATTTCACTAAAATAAATTTTTATTTCACTAAAATAATTAAAACTTAAAAAAAAAAAGATTATCGTGTTATCGAAAAACAAAGACATTTGTTTAGATACACCAAACAAGATTTGCCTCCTTTTTTTTTTGCTAATATCTGATAAAGTTATTGTTACAGAGAAAATTTTGTCACGTGATGATTAAAAGATTATAAAATTATTGTTTTGCAAATTTTTAATTTAAAAAGAAAATATTATTGTTTTTTGTACGATAAAGGAATTTTTAACCCATTTTTAGGCTTTTTTATAAGTATATCAAACCATTTTATAAACATACAATCGTATATTTTATTTCTGTATTTATTTAGATATATCCACAAGATTGAGAAACTCTTTCATTAATATTATTGTCCAAATGAATAAATTATCGTCGCTTGGCAGTTATTTTGTGGAATTACCGATAGAAATTCTCATTAGTATAACGGATAAGTTGAATGTCAAGGATCAACAAAATTTATCTTGGACTTGCAAAATGATGTATCGTTTAATAAGAATTTGTCATTTTGGAGTCGCGTCTCCAGTTTGGGAAGAGGTCAAAATTGAAGGCGCTGATAATATACCAGCGTCATGTTATAGAGATGATGTTTGGATTAATGGTGTATTTTATTTACCTGTCTTTAATCAAAGATGCACCTATTTGTTGGATACTCGATTTTAACAAACCATCGATCATCTGGTCCAAAAGACCAATTATATTATAGCTTCGTTCGAAAGAAGTTTATGTTTCCATTGATCATACGGCAACGGTAATGATATTTATATATTTGGAGGAGAAGACATTCGGACTAGGCGACTTACAAATATATTTTTATTGTTTAAATGCAACGAATCTTGAGTTACACGATTGTTAAAACTAAAAATAATCCACAAGCAAGGATGATGCATACTTTGAATTCTATCGATCATAATCATTTAGCATTGTTTGGTGGACGATGTCATATGAAAGATGGTGGGTATTAAATTTAATATTATTATATCGTTATAATATTATTATATTGTTATATATTATATTGTTATATATATATTGATATATTATTTAGATTAATTTTATTAAAGAATTTTCTATTTTTTAATACGAGAAAAAATGCATGGACAACTTGCGAAGATTCCACAGAAATGCTATACCCAAGATCAATACATTCATCAACCTTAATAAGCGGGAGACTTTATATTTATGGTGGATAACAAATTACTTCTTTTTCATTAAATCTTACTCACGAAGATCAAGATATATGGGTTTATGATATTTATCAAGAAGATGACATAAATTTTTATCACCATTAGCAGGAAAAGAATTAAATAATTTTGAATTTCCTCAAAATTGGGTTGCTACCAATGGGAAACCACCTGGTAGTCGAATTACAATTTTAGGAGGTATTGAATTATATAATTTTTATTATGAATATGAGAAAGAACGTCCATGGGAATTTGTACCTAGTAAACATAATTGGGAGCATGTAAAGAGTAAAAAGTATGCCTCGCATGAAATGTGTTGCCATTATTGGTGATTACAGATGAGGACCGAAAGACATTTTTATAATAAGAAAAAGTTACGGAAAAGGTAACTTGATTTCAGGTTGGATAAAAAATTAAAATTGTACATTTTATTTGCATTTTTATTTCTTTGAAGATAACTTTTTCTAAGTTTTTTTTTTTTTAAAAAAAAAGATAGGATCTCCATCAAAAAAAGCCTATTTTATAAGTTCAACGAATTGATTTTTAAGAAATAAGAAATCAGAATACTTATGTTTTCATTCTAGATATTATTTTTTATTATAATTTTCACATTTATTTTGTACTATATGAATAAGGGGAAATAATAATATTCATAATAATAATAAAGAAACAATTTAAAAATTTACTAAATGGGTTTACACAGTTATCTGGTGAGCATTTTACAGGTTCTTGTTTTGATTTTATAATATCAATGTATAATATAATATAATTTGTTAAAAATAAATCAATATTTAATTCTTCCTTTGGCATATTGTGTGAGTATAATCTTAATTTTCTCCCTAACCTTAAATATCTTAAATATCTAATCTTAATGCAACATATAAATCAAGAGGATCTATTAAGGATAGATTATTATATTATCCATCCTGCAACTAATTTTTCGTTTGAAGTTTTTCCTACTATAAATATATTATTACTTACGCGATCAATTTTAATTGCGATGCAATCTAAATCTGGCATATTTTTTATTTGAATATTTTCCCATACCCTTTTTATTGGACATAATATCACCATCATTTGTTGTTCTGATAAATTTTTTTCATTATGAGAACGAGAAGACACCGTAAACATTTGTTTCTTCGTACCACCCAATATAACAATTTTACGTCGTAAAGGAAAAATAGCGGCACCACATCTTTTACCAGGCCCAATTCCAATGGTTGAAAACTCGGGACAAAAAAAATTTGAAAATGAGCTATACCTTCGCCATTTATTTTTCCAAAAATTATATTCCCAAATATCTTCATCATCGTGAATTGATGATTCGGGAGAAGAGCTTGTTATATGTTGACCACCATAGATATACAATTTACCACCACGAATGAATACGCTATGAAATGATCTTGCGTAAGGAAGGTTTGATGCAATTTGTTGAATCCAAATATTCTTGCGGGTATCATAGATAAAAAGATCTTTAGTATCATAAAATTTATCTTTTTTGTGTGAGAGAGAGAGAGAGAATATTTTAATATGCATGATCACGTGTACGTCTAATCACACACAAAAAACAGTACTTACTGTTATTAGCAATACATCTTCCTCCAAATAGAATTAAACGATAATGATCTATAACATTAAGTGAATGCATAAATCTTGGAGAAGGACATTTTTCATTTTCAGGTATTAAAAATAATGACATAGTGCAAAGGTCTAATTTATATAGATTTTTAGTTGGACGACCCGTAATAAGGCACTCTCCACCAAACATGTAAACTTCATGTTTTATAACAGCTCCAACAGTCGATTTTACTGGATTATATTGCATTTTGTCCATACAAATTGTTACTTTTACTTTTTTCCAATTATATTTCTGAATTAAATCCAGAACCCAACATATGGGACCGAATTTTGAAAGGACTACAATGTAAAATTTTCCATCTATGTAAACTCCGTCACGATAATTTAAGCTAGATGGTAATTCCTCATTTAAATTGTCAAATTCTATATTTTTCCATATAGGATTAGACACACCAAAATGATTTATTCTAACTGCTTGACGTAGAGTTCGACATACATGAGAAAGGGAATGTTTGTCCTTTGTATTAAGATCATCTATAATAATATCAATTATTTCTATTGGTAAAGTCAATAGACTTTCTTTTGATAAAAGATCCATGAATGCGCAATTAATGTGAACAATATAAACGGATGGAAAAAAAATCTTAATTATCTTGATTATCTTGAAAAATAAAAGAAAGAATAGAATTTGGACATATTTCAGAGGGCTAAGATCCACCGAAAAAAAAAAATCCAAAGTTAAAGAATGAATTCTAATCTTATAAATAAAACCACAAATTTTGTGATACATAAACTATTATTATATAGTACAAATGCAAAGAGAAAATGCGTACCAATTCATAATTTTATTTTTAACTGGATTATTTGTTTGTCAATAAATCTTGTAACCTATAATATCCTGTTATATTGCTGTTACTTTTTTTTTTCTTTTAAGGGCAAATAAATTGTCAAGTAACTTTACTTACGAAAAACCATAAAAAATGTGTTAGAGAGTCATTAATTATTGAACATTTTCGATCATCGAATTAATAATAAATGCAAAATTTTAATAATAATTACATCAATAATGACAATAATAATAACAAAAACAATAATTAATAAAATAATAAATTATAAATAATAAACAATAATGAAGAAAATTGGACTTTAAAACACAACTATTTAAATGTTATTTAATATACAAGTAAATTAATTTATTGGCAAAACTAAAAATAAACTTTAATTGTCACAATTGTTGTAGTTTTGTGATTCCAATTAAACATTGTTAATTAATTCTTCAAGATAATAAACAAATAATGCATCATCAAATATTTCACTAAAATTTGTATTGAAATTAACACACGAAATTTTTTTTTTTGCCAAATTTGGATTTTTTATTAATTGAAAAAAACGGGGCTTTGGAATTAGAAATTGTTAGATTTGGATGAAAGTATTACTAATAAACATTACTAATATTACTTTTTACCCTCATTTAGTTAAATCTTTGATATTTAAGGTTTTAGATTTCACAGCCTCTTTATTTTTTAAGAAAACATAAAAGTTGCATTTAATGGAATAAAGTTAATAGTTTAGTTAATTAATTTATCTATTTTTTATTCATTATTCAATATACTTACTATTTGTACATAATTTAAAAATTTTTTTTACTATTTTTAGATTTTTTATGTAAACTATGTTACATAATTTGTCTCTGAGCAAAGAACGCCCAAGGCGGATTTTTTTATACAATGAATCCGATAACATTCATTTTAAACTTAACATATTAGGAAATAATTAATGAATTAGTTAAATTTCAATCAAATGATCCATGACCAATTATTTTTGTATCAAGCGAAATTATTTTTTATCGAAGAATCGGACTAAACCAATTGAAGAATTAAGATACTCAAAATCCGATTTCAGTGATACTGGATCTAGAAAACACGGAAAAATATCTTACATGCGATGCCTACATGTAGTGTAATAAATTATTTCTTTGGTCATTTGATGATTATCCAATGATAATATTAAAGCTGATTCAAGAAAATATCAGAATGGAAAGTTATAGACAATATTACTTATCTGTATATAACTCTGACTATACCCAAATTATACGTCAAATGTTAAACTATATCTCATTTAAAGAAACATATTTAGAAAGAAAAATAAAATTATCATTTACTGTAAATAGTGTCGATGTTAATTATACAACATTTTGTTAACATTTTTTTTTTCTTAACTTCCTTTATAAGGAGATTTAATTTATTGCTTAGTTAACAAATTATATTACAGAACAATAAAATTTGTTTGAAATTTATGTATAAATTAAAAGTTTATATCTTAATTAAATAATTATAAAACATATATATGAAAATTAAATTATTATTTGTGTATATAAATATAATTAAAAGTATGCCGTACGAAGTTATAAATAAATAAATAAATAAATAAATAAATAAAATTATGTATAGATTATTGTGAAGATTTTCTTAATTACTTTAATAATTCTTAAGCTTAAGTTTCATATCTCTTAGGTAATATTTATTTTTTATTTTATTTTATTTTATTTATTTTCTTTTAATTTAGTTTTAATGATTTCGGTAATGACTTGATTATGACTTGGGAATTATTTTTCGACCAAATACACGATAATATCTCATAATGGTGTGATGTCGTTCTACCTCTTGGGAATAAATATTTACCGTGTTTTCGATATTTTTGGTTTTGACATTTAATTTTTTTCCAAATTTACTTAGTAACATAAACTGTGTATTACGGGCGTATTCATGACCTAAAATTCCTATAAATTATTGATTGAGAATGATTAATTATTTAAGAAATTGATCAAAAATTTTTTAGGTTATAATCATTTACCCAATTTACCCAATTTTGTATCCCAGGATCTAGAGAACTAAAATAATCAAAAAAAAATATTAATATTATTCTTTATATACAAAAAAAAAAATTATAAAAAATAATTATATGATAATTACTGGTAAATCTTTAATTACTGATTGAATATCCTCTATTCTTTGTGTTGAATGTAGTAGATCAGTGAGCCTACGAGCAATAGAAGGATTAACTTTCTTTAATTTTAATCCATTATTAAAGACTTTAAAATTGGAAAAAATTGAAAAATTAGAAAAAATTAGAAAAAAAAAAAAATTGGATAAACTACAAACAAACTGAGAAAGAATAAATTTAATCACAGGTAAACAATTTCGACAATTCTGGTCCTGGCGAGATTAAATCTAAATCTCCTTCCATGATCTATTTATAACAATAACAATAATAATTGTCAACTGACTATTTTTTTTTCTTTAATATTTACTATACAAAGTAAAAAATAAAAATAAAATTTAACCTCTAAATAGCCTCCAGGTTTTAAAACTCGTACTAATTCACTTTTATGTTCATGATTTCATGATAGGTAAAAATAAGTGAACGAATTGGAGAAAATCCAGGAAGAAGAATAACTTACTGAATTGCGAAATTTTCCCACTGTTCCTCAGTCAAATCCGCGTTTATAAAACGCATGAATATAAAGTCAAATGTGTCGTTTTCGTATGGTAACCCATTAAGGAAGTCGCTACATACGAATTTTACACAAAATGGTACTGTCTTGGGAGTTATTTCTACTATATCGAGTCCTATGAATTCGTTTCCAGAGTAATCACTGCTCATTTCTAAGATCCATGTTCCAGGTCCACACCTAATAATCATCATCATAATAATAATTTTAATCATATTAATCAATATATCAATCTTTATATTTAACCATTTTAATTATTTTCGTATGATAAAGATCAAACGGTTTCAAACAGTTTTCAAAGTGTGAGACTAACCCAACATCAAGGACACGTGCTTTTTTAGTTAATAAAACATCATGAACAGGTGAGGAATAATTTCCACGAAATAATTCCCTCATTAAATTATGAGCCAGATGCCTTCTGTCTATTTCTTCTTCATTAGTGGGAAAAATTACATGGTAATTGGTTGAAGCTTTAGTTCCATTTCGAATAATATCTTGATCTTTAAATAAAATATTTCCCATTGTTCAATGCAAAAAAAAAAAAGAAAAAAAAAAGAGAGAATGAGAGAAATTTTTTAATTAAATATTTTTTTTTTGGAAAAAAAGGAAAGATTTCTGTTACTAATAATTCTATTTAGGCATTTAAGTATATTTATTTAAATACCAACCAAATTTTGGATTGATAAAATGATTCCCAAAATTAGATTCACATTTAAATAATGCATCATAGTTAATCAAAGATCTCACTTTTAAAGTTTGATCAATTATATTGGATGTCGATTCATATTTAATATTCGTCGCATATGCCATAAAGTAATATGGAAAAATAAACTCCGAATTTCATATAAACACAATAATCATTATCTATCTAATGGTTACATTAATAAAAAAAAACTATTATTTTTTTTTTTTTTTTTTTACGTAAATTGTTACGCCCGACAAAACCAATCAACGATAAATTAATAAATTGTCATGCATCTTTTTATATGCATCATGAAAAACAATTAACTCTGCGCATATACTGTAAATAGTTTTAATATGATGAAATTTAAATTTTTTACTTTATTGTTGTTGTTTTTGTAAAAATGTAATGCGATAACAATAAAAAATTCTAATTTCAAAGATCGTTTCTTTAACATTTTAACCACTTGAATTACTTGAACTGGAATCGCTTGAACCACTTGAACTTAATTAATTGAACTGAACCCTTGAGCTACTTGAATTGAACCACTTGAATAATTATTTGAACTTCTAAAATTTTACGTTTAACAGAACTTTAACTGATATGATATTATTTTTTTTTCAATTTATATAAATGTTGTTTAACAGTAGATAACAATGAATATTATGTGTAGGGACCAGGCGAATGTAACATTTTATTTATTATTTATTATTTATAATATCTATGAGAATCACAAAACATGCGTGCAGCAAATCTGCAAATATAATTATTTTAGAAAATTATGGAACTATTAAATATTAAAGAAACCATTTTTTTCTTTTTAACACCTTTGATTGATTGTCTTTTTTTTTAATTTGGTTTAAAAAACAATGAAACACAATTTAGCAATACTCCAATGGTATTATTATATTATTATATTAAAAAATTCTTTCATCATAGCTCCTTATTACTAATTTTAATTTTTAACTTTATTAGGTAATGATAATAAAATTTAAATATAAAATTTCTAAGTCATCTATCTCATTTTTTTTTAATTAATCAATGTAATGTTGCGTTGCATTACCCCCATGCAAAGTAATTTTTAATTTAATAGTAATGTTTCACAAGGTGGCTGCTACGCAAATTCGAAGAGATATCTTCTCCCTGTTAAGGGGTAGAGATATATATAATATATATATTAAAATTTGCAGTTACACACTACAACTCACTTAAAAAGAAAACTACCAAGGGTTAAGATTTCATGAATGAATGAATATGTAAAAGCAAAATATTTTAAAAGTATTAATAAAATAAATTAATATTCTATTCTTTATAAAAATTGATGTGGTATTTTATATTACGTATATTAATAATTATTATAATGTACTAAATGTACTAACTATACTAATTGCTGTACTAAACTATTTTTCCCAACCCCGTATATGAGAACTTATCAACACTTTAAAAGAAGTAAAAGAAGTAGATTTTTTTAATTCTTAAAGTTCTTTTTCAAAATTTTCTTCATTCTTAGGTTTTGAAAGACTTGGAAAATTAAGAATTCTTCTAGTATAAATTGCTTGTGGATGTGTTTGATAATTAAGTTGAGATGTAGTTGTTGGGGTCGTTGATGATTCAGACTCATTTCCCCAAAACAACCCCAAAAATCCGTTTTTTTTTTTAATTTATTTTGAGAAACTTCTTCTTCAGCATTTTTAATTTGATTTGCAATTTCATTATTATTATTATGAAAAAAAATTTTTTTCTTATATTTAGAATAATCCAAACTATATTTTAATAACTCATTATTTAATTCTTCAAAAGTAGGTCGATAAGTAACTCGTGAATCCCAACATTTCATAATCATTCTTGCGATTAATTTTGGAATGTGAAATGGAATTTTTGGTCGTAATCCATTACATATTTGTCTGGCTAGTTCATTATCATGTGGTATATCAGGGTATGGAAGAAGACCAGTAACTATTTCATATGCTACAATTCCAAATGAATATACATCAGCAGATTTTGTATATTCTTCACCGCATAATACTTCAGGTGCTATATAGGGTAAAACTCCAACGATTTTTGTCTTTTCTGAATTTTTAATAATTAATTTACTTAATCCAAAATCTGAAATTTTTATAAAATCATCATCATTACTAAAATCATTTGCTAAAATATTTCCAGGATGAAAATCCTGATGGACTATATCTAATTTATGAATTTTTTTAAAGTTAAATGTCAAATTATCTAAATAATTTAATTTTTGTTTCCAATCAATATTATTAAAATTATTTTTTAAATAATTTCTAAGGTTACCATCTTTAGCATATGCCAAAATCATCATATATTTATGTGTTTCGGGATCTTGAGTAATTCCATAAAAATTAATTGCTGCGAAATTCTTAATTGCTCTTAAGTGGATTGTCATCTAAATAATATAATTTTTAAATGAATGACAGTTAATCTTTTTATATAATGACAAATAAAATTTACATATTAAAATTTACATATTAATTTTTTTTTTTTTTTTTTAAAAAAAAAAACTTTACCTCATTTAAGAATTCTTCATTTATGCTTAAATAATTATTATCAAACTTTTTTAATACTACTTTTTGTAGATTATATCTATGCCAATTTTGATTATCAATATTCCAACATTTAATTGAACCATCAATCCATATAGCTGAATATATAATTGCAAATCAATTTCTTTAATAATTTTAAATCTATCATAAAGTATCCATTCTAATATTTGAGTATTATATATAGCATTTAGTTGAGCATCACGGATAAACTTATCTATTGTATCATTTCCACTTGTCCATTATCAAAATCATTTTTGAAATGTGCCGCGTTACATGATTTGCACCAATTCAAGCCAGTATTTTCTTGATTACATTCCAGAGTTGTAAGTAAAGTTAAAAACCTAATATGTAGAATTGGGTAACCATAAAGGGCAATATCGGAGATGATATTTTATGAACCAACACAGAGTTTAAAATATTAACTGTGGTCCTTTCCAAAAATTTTGATTATATAAATTTATTTTTTTTAAAGGAAATATTACATTAAACTATAATAATAATGATCAATAATGTATTGTTTTCAACCCAATATTTTTATTACAATCAATTATACAAATATGGTACTCTAATAATATTACCCAGTGAAATACATTAAACTATGTAATGATAAGCAAAATATTTATAAAAATACTACTTTATATCAGTTAATTGAAACCTAGAAGCAACTAAAAATAAATTAATATAAAAGAAAATTAAACTAGAAGCAACTAAATAAAGATAAAAATAAATTAATATAAAATATATGAGAATATAATTGATATTTACTAGCACTTGAAGCAGAAATAAATTTTGTTAATTTTGCAGGTTCATTTTCAAAATTCTTCATTTGAAGTTTTTGGAAGACCCGGAAAATTGAGTATAAATTGCTTGTGATAATTGAATGGAGATGTGGTTGTGGTTTAATTTATAGATAATTTTGACTTGCTTTTTCTAAACAGCCCTAAAAATCTCCTTTTCTACTTATTTTTGAAAAATTCTTCTGCTTCCTTAAATTAATTTGATTTGAATTATTATTTTATTACAATTAAAAATTTTTTTTCTTATATTTAAAATAATCCAAATCATATTTATGGGTCAATAAACAGCTCTAGTATCCATAATTACTCATGTGATTAATTTTGGAATGTGAAATAGATTGTATATCAAGGTAGTGTTGATCCCTGAGTTTTTTTTTTATTGTCCCCATGTCCGCATCTGCGCTGTCCATACCCTTAACTAGTTTATAAAAAATGGATCAAATATATGCAAAAATCAATCTTAATAATGACTCAAAGTAAGGTTTAAAAGGTTTAAAATAAAAATTTTGTGTTATTTACGTTTTAAAAAAAAAGTAATTTTTTGTCCAAGATGATGTTCCTTGACAAAACTGTTCAGGATATGGAAGAAGACCAGTAATAATTATATTTCATATGCTACTGCAATTCCAAAAATGCAAAATTAATATAATAATGAATATACATTAGCAGCTTTTGTATACTCTTCACCAATAATACTTCCGTGCAGGGTTGGAAAATATATTATAATAATTAATATAAAATTTTGTACAAGTACATTTCCAAACCCTGGGGTAGGAATACCCAACAATAATTTTCTTTTCGGGGGATATTTTGCTTTAATTACAACTTCAAAATCCAAAACTTCCATATTGAGTAACAAATCAAGTAATTTAATTTTAAGATTTTCATCTTCATTTATATTTAAAACCACTTCTGGTAGAATCCATTTGTTCCATTTTTGATTTTCAATAAATCCATCTTTCATAGTTGCAAATTCACATGAGCGATCTCTTTAATATCTTCAAATCGATCCATATCCATTCTAGTTATTTGATAGTAGTATTCTGCGTCACGAATAAAATTATCTATTGCGTTATTATTGACTTGTCCCAAAATTATTTTTGAAATGTGTCGTGTTTCAGGATTCAAGAAAGTATTTCCTTGATTACATTCCACACATACCATTTTTTTAAAGTTCGCTTATAAAGTTATAAGTAAAGGTTTTTTTTTTTTTAAAAAAAAAAAAAAACCCCGAATTTACCTTATCTCAATTCTATATTTAAAGTTTAACGTATATTGATAGTTAATTATAGAGATAAAAGTGAACTCAGAGATGATATTTACAGAAATATTTATCTAAAAATGCTAAATATTTCAACTTTTTTATGAACTTGTGATAAGAATTTTTAGAAGAAAGATGAAGAATAACTGTGGTCCTTTTTAAAAAAAAAAATTTTTAAGAAATTAAATAATAATCTTTTTTTTTTTTTTTCGTAAATAATTATAAACTTGTCTAAAAGATTTTCAAATAAATAAATACAATGTCATGATTAAATGAATAAGAAATACACGTGAAAAGAAATATCTATTTATTTATATATATTGTAATACATACTACCTCCATTTCATATTTTGCTCTTTCACTCATTTATCGCGAGCGTTAAAAAATCAAATATAAATAATAAATACAGAAATATATACAGTATCTAAAAGTTCTAATCTTGAAGCGGGAGATAATAATAGGGATGGTGTTTCCAAAGAAGGAGTTTCAGAATTCGTTGGTGTAAATGATAATGTTATTAATGATGTTGTTGTCATTGATGATGTTGCTGTCATTTGAGTTGTTTCAGTTGTTTTAGATGTTTTAGATGTTTCAGATGTTGATGTAGGGAGAATTCGATTTTTTTGGCCTCGGCCTGAGGTAGTGGTGATGGTGGTTGCAGAAATACAAATTGTTATAAGATTCAGAAATAATAATAAAAATAATAATGCGTTTTTGGTATACAGCAATGACTTTTTTTTTTATATATTATTATTTCAACAATTAAAAATAAATGCTAAAAATAAATATTATAATGCTTTAATGAATGTTATGTATTGTAATGAAATATTATAATGAATATTGTAATGGATAAATGTGTTCTTTTAACAACAAAAAAAAAAATACAAAAATCTTTTTCTCTCATATCAAAGGTATATATTTATACTACTTTATCAAACCTTTATTGCATTTTACATTTCTGAGATTTCTTAGTTCTAATTCTGTAAATCACGTTTTTAGTTATAGTTTTTTATATTAGTCAACCGATATTAATAAGTGATAATCTTATTTACATCTATCATCATTTTTACAGTAAAAAATTCTATAATTGGAAATTGTCAACCTTTAAGTAAATATAATAGTAAGAAGTTACAAAGTTTTGGGTACGCTTAAATAAAAAAATACCATTTCAATGAGAATATAATTGCAATAACAAAATTCTATCAGATAAATAATTGCTGATGATAAAATTCTCGCGTTTTTACGAATATATTGAATATATTCATATATATAGGTGCAGACTTAATCGACGTATCTATATTAAACCATAATGATGTAAATATGACGTTCTAGTTTAAACATATTACGCTCTAGTTTAAACATATGACGTACTTTGAAGAAAGTTACCTATAATATTATATACAAACAATGTAGTTAAATCTAACCAATTATGTAATAAATCAAGAAAATCAAAATAATAAAAATTTATTTTTGTTGTCGTGTTCCTTTATTCAATGACTCGATGCAGATTTATTATTTATTTATTGCCGATTATTACCACTCTTCATTTCATCATCATCAAAAATTATGTTTCTACATTGTCCTTACAATATAATGTTAAGAATAATTTTGATGCAAAAATATAAAAAAAAAAAAATTTTTTTTTTTACATTAAGAAATGCAATAGACAAAACTCTCGAATTATATAAAATTTTTAAATGCAATAGACAAAACTCTTAAATACGATTAATTAGATTTAAAATTTGTCTTTTCTTATCTAAAATAGTCTTTTCCTTATTCTTTTTTAAGATATTTTATAAAATACTATTACATACATTTATATAAATACAAAACACGTATTTAACAATGCACCTTTGTGGTAAAGATTTTGACTTAGATAAAGTCTTAAGGTGAAGTATATCCTTCTTTACATTTATCCATTCAAAGAATTTTTCCTACAATTCGCTTTCTCTCTTTCTCTATATATATGAGAGATATATATAAATATATGATATATATATATAGATATATATACATATATGAGAGAGATATATATAGATATATATATTCACAAAATAAAATAATTTCATTTTCTTTCTATATATATATATATATGTATATATTCGCCAATAAATAATTTTGATATCAACTACATAGTTATAACACGTTCAAAATTGTAAAAGTTCGAGAGTAAGTTATACATTTAATATTATTAGTTGTTAATGAACTGTTACCGTACCGTTATATATATATATATATTAATATTTATTTATTTATTTGTTGTATTTTTATTATTAGTCGTCGATTAGGTTTTTTGCATCTAATTTTCCAATGTGCAATTTTAGTATATCTTATATACACAATCATTACAGATTCAGGTTATTTAAAAAAGGTATAACAAAGAAACAATAAAAAAACCATAATCATCAATAATAATAATAATATTATTATTATTATTATTAATTAAATTATATTATAATTTAGGAACCTCCTGTTCCTGGTGCTATAAGAATAACTCTTCAAGCTCCAAGTGGCAATATTTCAGTTCCTTCATATTGTTCTGGTGGCAGGTAAAATCAAATTATCAAATATTATTATTATTAACATTTATTTATATTTATTAAATTATTTCATTTTTTTTTTTTTTTAAAAAAAAAAATAAAGTCTAGGATGTACTTTTTGGGGAGCCAATGAAAGTAAATATGAAAATTACTTTTTTTTTTTCTTCTCTCTAAAAATATGATTCTAATAGTAATAATAATAATAATAATAATAATTGTAGTTCAGTATCCAAATGATGGAGCAGGATTCGCATTTTTCACAACTCGAGCCTATGCCGCTAAATATTCACCACCCGCCAGTTGTAATTTTCTAAATGTTTCCAATCCCAATGATGAATGTTTCTTTAACCAAAAGACTGCCAATACTACAGAAATTTTACCTAAATCTTATATTGGAGGAATTGAAGATTATACGGTAAAAAAATTATTAATAAAAATTTTAATTATATAACTATTTATATATAATTGTTATATAATAATCTATATAAAGATGATGATAGAACATTCGATCAGAGGAAAAGCCACTTCAATAGCAATTCGTAATGGATTATTAGATGGTCAACTTTTATCTTCAGATAGAAAAACTGTAGTGGAAACTTTTACCAATGCATCAAGAGTAAGTAAAAATATTATTAATAAATTGTTAATTAATATTATATTTGTTATCTGTTAATATAATACTTATCATTATTATACTTATTATTATAGACGGCAAAAGATCCCAATGCAGATGGAGATATTATTTCTATTAGACAAATGTTACAAGCCGCAAATGCAAATCTTGATGCTTTATCTACAGCACCAGGAGCTTCTGACGGAGAAACTTATAGATCTTCGGGAATAGTTATTGTTGTTGTTATTGAATACAAGAATGTTGCTTTCAAGGTTAGTTTTTTCTTTAATCAATTTTTCTGGTTGATATTTTATAAAGTTAAAAGAAAAACGATTTTAAGTGAAATTATTCTTTTTATGTATATATATATGGAACTCTTGGAAATAATAATAATAATAGAAAAATGAAATTAAATATAAATATTTTCCTCAAGTAATTGATGGAAATGAATATAAATCTGTTGAAAATCTTTATAACTCGGATGGATCATTTACTATAGTTGAAAGACATGGGTATTCATTTATTCATATTATTATTTATTTGTACTATTTAATTATTAATTATTAATTAATTATTATTTATTATATCGATGTTTATTAATAATTATTAATTATTAATAGAATTCGAATTATATTCCAACAACATGGAACAATTGGCGAATTCGATTTCATCTCTCTATTAACAAATATTGTTGCCAGTTTAGCATTATTTGTAAGTTTTATTATTATTATTATTATTAATTAATTAATTATTTAATTAATTATTTATTTATTTATTAACAATAACAATAACAATTTTTAGAAAGTTGCAACCGCCATAGTGGAATTACTTATGTTGCATTTCTTACCAGGTAAGAATAATATATATATATTATAAGAGATATATTATTGGATATTATTATAAGAGATATTAAACAATATTTACACAGTATTTTACAGTATTCTCATCTCATTTGAATTATTTTCTTTTGTTTTTATTTACAGAAAAAGATCATTATTCACATGCAGTAATAGAACATACTCATGATTTTGAAGATTTACGAAGAGGTTTGGTAAATAAAGAAGATATTAAAAACAGACCTGGACCTGATACGGAATAAATATTACATATGGTTTTAATTTTATTGAAAACATGGTATTTTATTTATTTATTATAAAAAAAGTATTTATTTATTTATTTATTCACATTGGATATATAATCAATTTGTAATTTAATAATTACAGTATTATTTTATTTATATTATATATTTTATATATATGTATGTTATATGCATTATATACTTTAATACTTAATAAAAGATTAAATTTTTGCCTAATTCTTGAAAGAATGAAAAAATAAATTCTAAAAATTAACAATTGTTGACAAACACGCGCACACGGAGAGGGTTTGACATTCATCGCGTTCTTTACTTCTTTGTTTAAATTATATGACAAAAAATATACAATAAATAAATAATACTAAAAATGAAATAATAAATAATAAAAAATATGAAATAAACAAATAATTAATAATAATATGAATAAAATAAATATGAACATGACATGTATGACATGTTATAGTTTTGATAAAGTAGGATCTTTGTTATCAAAAGTAGCAACTAAACTTCTTTTGCTGAATGGATGCTGTAAACAAAACAAATAAAATAAATAAATAAAATAAATAAATAAAATAAAATAAATAAAATAAAATAAATAAATAAATTAAATAAATTAAATAATACTAGATTTACCTCTACTTTGGTATTAATATTATTATCCGAAGTTTCTCTAAGTTCGAGTGGAACATATGATCTAACCCTTGGTCCAACATAAACTTGTCTGGGACGGCAAATTTTAGATTCTTTATCTTCCAATGATTCTTTCCAATGTGCCAGCCATCCAGCGATTCTTGGAATCGCTAATAAATAACAACAACAATTATTTATTATTATTTATTATAATTATTATTATAATTATTATTGTTATTATGATAAAATTTATAAATACCAAATAATACAGGAAACATATCAGTTGGGAAACCCATAGCTTTATAAATTAAACCGGAATAAAAATCAACGTTAGGATAAAGTTTTCTTTTTACAAAATATTCATCTTGTAATGCTATTCTTTCTAATTCAATAGCAACATCAATAAGAGATTCTTGTCCACAGACTTCAAAAACCTATAAATAATTATAAATAAATATATAAATATAAATAAATTATAAATAAATATATAAATATAAATAAATTATAAGAAGATATAGTAAAAATGATTTATACCTCATATGCAATTTTTCTGATAATTTTAGCTCTTGGATCATAATTTTTATAAACTCGATGTCCAAATCCAAATAATTTTCGTTTTCGATCTTTAACTTGCTCCAAAAATAATGGAACTTTATCAATTGATCCAATTTCTTCTAACATTCGTAAAACTGCTTCATTGGCTCCACCATGGAGTGGTCCATATAGTGCTGCTGCTGATCCCGCTACTGCACTGTAAGGATCTACTAGTGATGACCCAATATGACGCATGGCTGCGGTAGAGCAATTAAGTTCATGATCTATTACATTAAAATATAATAATAAAAATATTAATATCATATTATAATAAATCGTAAATATTAAATAAATAAATAATAAATAATAAATAATAAATAAATAAATAAATAGATAATAAATAATATAATAATACCAGCATGTAGAATAAATAAAACATCAAGTGCTTTAGATAACTTTGGATTAGGCTTGTAGTTTTCTTCGGATAACCGATCTAACATATAAAGAAAATTTTCAGTATATGAAAGTTCATTTTGAGGTGGATTATATCGACTATAAAATAAATTAAATGAAAAATATAGTTAAACAATCAAACAAACAATAATCAATAAATTAAGAAATCATTTAATCAATCAATCAATCAAATCAATTAATTAATTGAATTGAATTCTAACTATGCTTACCGGCCAATACGATGACGATACGCCATGCTAGATAATAATAGAGAATATTTATAATATTTATGTAATTTTAGATTCTAATAATAAAAAGTAAAAATGACAATAATACTACTACTATTAATAATTATAATTATAATTGTACTTACGCTGCTAATGTTGGTGTTTTACCCAGTAATCTAAAAATTTGTTTATTTCGGGCCGTTTCATTAAGTTTAAATAAATCGGATCCCTTTACCAAAAATAATAATAATAATAATAATAATAATAATAATAAATAGTAATGGATAATAATAATAAATAATGAATTAAAAATAAATAATTAAAATAAATTAAAATAAATTAAAATAAATAAATAAATTAAATTAAAATAAATTTAACATTTACCGCTAAAGCAGGATTCGCATCAGGGTGAAAAGTACTTAAAGCCGAAATACCACTAATGAACATCCCCATGGGATGAGCGTCATAATTAAATTTTCGCATTAACTCAGTCACATTAAAATGTACAAAAGTATGATGCATGACTTCATGACTAAAAATAGAATATTGAGATTTGGAAGGAAGTTCTCCATAAATAAGAAGATATGCAACTTCTAAATATGTGGATTTTTCTGCCAATTGTTCAATTGGATATCCACTAAATAAAGTAATTAATTATTGATTAATTATTGATTAATTATTGATTGATAATTAATTAATTATTGATTGATTATCATATTATAATGTTAATAATAGTTTACTGACCGGTAACGCAAAACTCCACCGTCACCGTTAATATAAGTAATTTTAGATTGACAAACAGCCGTATTCTGAAATGCTGGATCATATACTCTATTTTTTAATAAATAAAATAAATTAATAATTATAATATTAATAAATTAAATAAATTAACAATTATAATATTAATAAATTAAATAAATTAAACATTTATAATATTAATAATTATATTAATATATTAATAATTAAAGTATTAATAGTAAACCTTAATCCTTTATTACTTTCATCTTCTTCACGAGATCCAGGTCCACCATTTGCACTTATCTCTTTAAATTTAATAGCTGGAATGGTATTATTTGTGATTGGAACTTCATAAATTTTATTTGTTCGATTATCCAAAATTGTTAAGGACTCAGTATTCGTACTATATTATTATTATTTAAAATTAAAATAAAATATGGATATATGTGAGTATAAATATAAATATAATTTAAAAATAAAAAATATTAATATACATATATATGTATATAATCAATAAATAATACCTTCTGGGTAAAACTACTACAGCAGTTGATTGGGATGATATTTTTCCATCCTCTTTTATGGGAGATGGTAAAGACCATGATACACCTGAAGATTTGTCTGTCAAGATAAGTCCGGAATTACTTCTATTATTATTATTATTATTATTATTATTATTATTATTGATATTTTAATTTAAATTATTATTATTTTTTATTTTAATTAAATTCTTATTAGATAATTGTTATTAAATTGTTTGTGGAAATATAAAAATATAAAAATATATAAATATATAAGCTATAATTATTATTTTCTCACTTTTCAGCCTCTTTGCTTGATTCCGCTTTGTCGTTGCCCATATTGTATCTTTATAATATTATTATAATATCGTTATAATATCGTTATAATAATATCGTTATGATATCGTTATATAATTTGTTATTATATTATTATTATGTAGTATTGACAAGAAAAAGAATAGTGTGAAAGACTATCAGATAGAAAAAGTAAAAAGTAGAAAGGTAAACTATCTGTTTTATTTATTATTTATTTGTTTGTGATGATAATCTGTTCTGTCGAATAAATAGGTAAATATTCAAATAAATAATCAAAATAAATAATCAATCTAATTAATTAATCAAATTATCAGCCATGCATATATTAAAGATATTAAAGAAAGAGAGACATTCATCTGTGATATTTAAATCTCAGATTATCTTATCGAAATGATAGATATGTAATAATATGTATACATATATAGTAAATTGTAAATTGATAATGCATGTGTTATAACCTGTGTTACTGTAATTAATGAGATGAATGATCACACGCGTGGGTACAGTGCACGCCACCTAAAAACTGAAATCATGTGATTTGTCCCATTTCTCAATCTAAAAATCAAACTGAATCTAAAAGGTATGACGATAAACTGTACGGTACGAAACACTATTTTGTACTGTACGATTTTATATATATTATAAAAATCTAATTGTACTGTATGAACTTTTTTATGTTAAAAAACCGTACAGTACAAGTATTTTTAT